CCTTACAAATACACTCAGATTTCAGGCAAGACTTCGTCCATCTCACGATCTTTGCAACCAATACGTTCAATTCAATTCTTACAGGTTGTTTTCAACCATTGATCTTTCGTTTATTTTTGTTCCATCCCGGAGAATGCGGTGGCGATATAGATGTGGGTTTGTGAGTTGATCATTGACAACTTTAACAAGGCAATGCCCATTGCGAGGTTGTTCAGTCAATGATTAGTGGCACAAAAACTTTGCAGTTTTGAAAGTGACGCATTCATCGGTGTTGCACATTTTAGAGATGGGAAAATGACGAGATTTGGCCTTGTCCCCTTTCTAAAATAAAACATTTTACTGCGTAACGTCACTTAATTTTTATCACTCAAGAAGAAAATGTAACAAAATATGAGTATATTTATTGAGGGGTTCCGTTGAAGGGAAGATGGCGCGCGTCACTGGAGCTATAGAATAGATGACCTCATAGAGCGGCAGTCTTAATGAATGCTGTAAAACGGATGGCAGTTATACCTGAGGGGGAATACTGCTAACGACACCGATCTGAAATTAGGAAATAATTCCACCAAACCTACCAAAAAGTGAAACTTTTGTACAGGCGCTCAATTAGTGATTCAGTTTTTGAAGAAGTTTTGCTCATCTCCGTGATCTTTACGATCAATATGCCTTTACCAAAGTGTTTCCTTTGGTTGTTTTCAGTTCTTGACCGTTCGGTTATTTTCATTTCATCCAGAAAAGTAGTTCGAGCTTTCACGACACATACCACAGACGTGTATAAATCCGTGAGATGGCTGAGAAGCTGAGGTGATTAAAAGCACGAGCACATCCAATCATGCAGATCCTACAAAATTAGGGGAAAATTGCATCAATAATATCCGTAAGATAAAGTGTGCGCAGAACGGGTTACTATACTGAAGATTCTGTAAGCTGGCGCCGAGATATGGAGTTCCGTTGACTGACGATGTAGTATTTTGTATTATTGCAGGATTAGGCACAATGTAAATGCAGACAGTTTTATCACTAACCCGCAGCTAAAAAACATATCGAGCAGAAGAAGACTGAGCACGGGGTGGATCCTACAAACCAACTGTATCGATCTTTCAGGAGAGATAAAAGAGAGCTGATCAATAATCACTTAGCCGAATTTCTTTCATGCTCTTAGCATTTGCTCAAGCGTGAATACATCGAAACTAGCAAGTTAGCTCGTTCTGCTCCTTAGTTTTCACAATCAACATGTCTTTGCCGGTGTAATTTACCGGGATTTTTAAAAACGTTACAGATTATTTTCGCTACCCGTTGCATTTTATAATTAACTGCCTCACGTTTTCGCGGAGGCGATAATGTGGACGCCCATTTCACATAACCCTTATCCACACTCTACTAAATTCGCCAAATCTTTCTGTGTGAAAAACCATTCTGAATGTGACTTGAGAAATATCTCCCCGGCCAACTGAAACATCCTCGAAGCTTTGATTTGGTTCACTGTGGCTCACTCAATTCATGTCATTCATCATCAGAACGATGCCCAATTTTTTCAATGATATCTGATCCACTCAAGGTCTTTGTTTGCCTATTATTTTAATTGTTATACTTGTCTGTAGAGAAATTAGCTGGTCACAGATGGAATAGCATTTTGCTGGACTCGATGCATCGGTTAGCTTGTTGCGGCCTAAGAGAAAAATCGCGTTGAAGATTGGAGGGGTTCGGCTGAATCTAATTAGTCTATTTGCTCGAAGTTACGTCTGATCCATTTCAAGTTGTATCAATGTCAAAATTCACCACTAAACATCCAAAGCTTAGTGCTTACGAGAGTCGGAAGAGACCACTTTTTTAACTGAATTTTCACTCGCAAATTTAGATGATATAATTCCGGTAACAACATTTAAGAGCTTTACGTGTGGGTGATTGTTCTCGTTTTG